ATGTATATATATATATATATATATATATATATATATATATATATATATATATGCTACTGACTGAGAAAACTATTTGCTTCTAAATGGAGGCTATGTGAGTAGTAAGCTGTTTATTCAAAAACACACAGGAAAAAAAATTTTATTCTCCCACCGAGACATCAAGAATCTATTTGCCACACCAACAGCTGCTAACGGCCTTCAGATACACACAGGTCGGGGCTCCGCAGCCTTTAACCAGAGCTCCCAGCACAGGCAGCCAGTTTGGCACAAAGAGAGCTACAGAATGATGGGGCATACTCAGTTTCCCTGTTGCAAAACAGACGGCTGAGCCATGTGCACACCAACTCAGAGCAGCTCGGCAGATTTTCTCCAACACCGGTCAGCATCCCATGCCCCGCAGGCATTCCCAGAGAGACCCACGTTCTGTGTGAGCAGAGGTGTGCGTGAACACCACACACATGCACAAAGGAGAAGAGGTACATACGGCACAGACAGCCCGATGAGCTCAGCTGCTGCAGCATGCATCGGAGCAGGAGAATGACAGGAGCCTCAGGATGGTACTATTTGTGCATTGCTGACTAGTCCACTAGCAACCCAAATAGCGGGGTCACCAGGCTTTGTGCTGGCACCACAAAACCCCTCCACGGCTGCAGCACGCAGCAGCAACAATCTGCTTTGGAAGCATGCGTTTCTTCAGAAACAGGAGGCCTCTTCTTCCAGCTGACATTTCCTCTCACTATTGGGTATGGAGATTAAATGAAACTGAAGCAAAATTTCCTTAAATAATTTAATAGGCTGTACAAACACAGAACTCAGTGCAGAATGGGGCTCCACAGCCACCAAGCTGCTCACTGAGGCAGGAACCCCCTGCATGAGCATCTCGGTGCTAGGTGCCCCTGGCAGCCCAGCTCTCTGCTCAAGGCACAGCAGTTCCTATAGGTGTGGGGGGCCAATCACCGCCTGCTTTGCAAAGACACATGACAACTGAGTGTTTTCTAATGCATGAGTACATGCACACAGCTTACGCACAGGTGACTATTAAAAAAAAAAAATAAGAGAAGCCTCATGTTCAACTGCTGGACTGGATCTTACCTTCTGCTCTTTTAAAAAGCCTCCATTTCTCTGTCTACTGATCAAGTGCACCTGGAGATGGACGCTTGGGAATTAACAGTAAAAGGTAACGACAGAAATAACTGTGTTCTGTAAGCTAACAACAAGTATTTTCTTTTTTTTTTTAATATTTGATACAACCCATTTTCTATGTTAAAAATATTCATCTAAAAGCTAAGAAAAATTCTTATTTCAACTGGAATGCTTAGATGGAAAAAAATCTCAGTACAAAAAACTGACAAGCTGCCTTTATTACTATTATTTTGAGAAAAAAAATAAAAATAGAAAGATTAAAGAATAGCATCCTTGGCAGGCAGCTCTTTGTGAGCTGCATCTTATTTCCTACGGTACTAGGGGAAAAAAAAAAAAATCTGTGAAAGGGGACATAAACCCATAAATATAAGGAAGTATTTCTAAGGGTCATACTGAGGACATAATGAATTTACTCTCATGCCAATAAAAATAAAATACTTTTAACAATTCGTGCCATAAGAAATAGCACTCTGAAGAACCATGCGCTGTGCCTCTCAGATCACGATTTTCCCAGCTTTAAAAGCCATGGATTCCAAACTGCCTGTGTTTAAAAGCAAGCAAACAACGCGGTGTCCTTAAACAAATTACAAAAGAGTATGCACAAGGAGCCTCATTCCCCTGTGGCTCCCAGGGACCCTTTTATCAGTGCAAAAATCAGGTAAGAATCGACGCTTCAAAAGGCATCTCATTTCTGTGGAAAAAATAAAAGGAGGTGGAATGAGACCTGCAGACAGAAAAGAGCGCTCAGGAGGCAGCAGGCAGACGCAGCCCGGGCTTCTGCTACTATTTTTTATGCCCCACGCCTCTCCCACAGTATCACCCCGTCTTTTCTCCGTGTTCTGTTGCTTGAAGAACGCCCTGTACGGGCACGCCCCGCCGTCGGAGCGCCCAAACATGTACGCCTGCGTTCGCCCTCGCCGGTGCTCTCTGCTAAAAGCTATTACCGGATTTAACAGCTCTTTAACTGCAAGGTCTCGCTGAAGGGAAAAGCAAGCCACGACGTCCTAGCGCACTGCTCCACCTAACACCATTCGCCGTCCTGTAGGGAACTGGAGCGTGGCCTCCCAGCGGAACAGCACGAGGGGCTCCTCCCGCCGTTCCCGCAGCACTCCGGCCCCGCTCATGCCGCGCGGAGGCACGGCGCCGCTCGCTCCTTTGTACGGCGCCCGCCGTCCCCTCACGGCACCGCTGCGCACAGCGAGGGGTGCAACGGGAGCCTGAGCCGGGCAAGAGCCCACACCGACGGCGTCAAGTTTACGGTAGGGTTTTAATACCCACCTAGACGTATAAAAACAAAGTACGTATTCTGTTTTCGCACAGCCCTCACCCCTTGCATAACACCCGCAGCGCTGCGAAGCGCTTCAGGAGCACAAAGCTTCCACGCGCGCAACTCGAAAGCGGCTCTCAGGGGCCGCCTCCCCAGCACGTCCCGTTAGCGCGGAGCCCAAAGACCACCGAAACCCACATAGGGCCGGCAACGGGAAGGACGACGGAGGGCGGCAGGGCCCTCCTCGCCCCCGGTCCCGCGCGGCGCAGTTCCCCCCCTCCTCGCTCGCTCCCGCGCAGCCGCACCCCCCACCCCGCCCGCGCGGCCGCTCCGTGGCGGCGGGGCCGTGGGTGCCGGCATCGCTGCTCGGCGCTGCTATTTACATCAGCGGCGCGAAGTGCCCAATGGCGAGCGGGGAGCCAATCAGATGGCAGATTAGATGTCAACTCGGAGGCAGCTGTCTGGAGACTGTTGCAGCCCGTTTACCTCCACAATTCAAATTCCAAACCTTGCGGAGGAGAAGCGGAGCCGCTCCTCGCCAACGAGCTTCGGCCCCGGCGGCGACGCTCGGCGGTTCCCCACCGGAACGAGGGCGGAGGGGCGGCTCTCAGCAGCGCCCCGCGCCTTAACGCCCCCCCTCAGGCCCCGACCCGCCGGGACGGGCCCAGCGCCCTGAGGGTGCGAGGGGCGAAGCGCGGCGCTGGGGCAGCGCCGTGAGTCAGGCGCACAGCGGCGCGCACACACGCGCTCTTCCCACAGAGAGAGAGAGAGAGCAAAAAAAAAAAAAAAAAAAAAAAAAAAAAAAAAAGGGGGGAAAAAAAACCAGCACACACACACACCCGAGCTGCGCTGAGCGGTGTGCACTGCGGTAACTCCGCATTAATGACAAACTAATTTGCGGACAACTCGCTCTGTTCGGAAATAAAAATAAACCCCGGGCTGTTACAAAGAGAGAGAGAAGCGCAACGGAAAGCCCCACGGGAACGCACTGACCCCTCACAACGCGGCCGCGCGGCGCCCGCTCGGCCGGGCCGCTCCTGCCGGGCCCTCCGCCGCCGCTCCGAGGAGCAACGCGGCCACAGAGCCGCGCGGCGCGGTGAGGCCCGGCTGGAGCCCGTGCCCGCAGCACGGCGGGTGCCGGGAGGGGGGCAGCGAGCAGCGGGAGCGACCCGCGGGGAGGGGGGTGGGGGGGAGGAGAGAGGGGAGAAATAAAATCCAAATAAAAATAAAGAAAGCAAAAAGCGGCGTGGGGACCCGCGAGCGGTGCGCGGGCCCCGAAGCGGGCGCCGCGGGGCTTACCTGCGTCCTGCCGATGGGCTGCGCGGTGCTGCCGGGGCTCATCGCCGGATGGTTCCTTTGTTGCGCCGCTGCCCAGGCCGGGCTGGCCGCCCCGTACTGCGCGCCCATGTCCTTGCCCATGCCCATGCCCGCTGCCTGCTGGCTGCCCGGGGCGGCCGGCGCCGCCTGGGGCTGGGGCTGGGGCTGCGGCGGGGCGCCGGGGCCGCCGTAGTCGGGGTATCCGCCGCCGTAGCTCCGCATCATGGGGCTGGGCGACGTGAGCAGCTGGTTGAGGGTCGGGGTGGCCCCGGACGGGTGCTGGTTCTGCCCCGAGAACCGCGCGAAGCCGCCGGCCGCCGCCGCCGCGCCGGAGGCAGCCTTGCCGAGGCCGGCCCCGCCGCCGGGGCCCATCATCATGCCGCCGCCCGGCTGCCGGGGCGAGCCCAGT